TAGAAGAGGGAACGAGAAAAATGCTAATATAATTGTTCTGGAAACCGAGAACATATGGGATTGCTTAGCTGGCAAAAAGCTGATTTGCTAGCATGTCTTCAGGGGCTGTCTTATTTACATCCCATGCAGGAGGCTTAATTGAAGTTGGTCCCATAAAACGTATCGCATCTCTCTCCAAAGAATTCTCCCTTTCTTACATTACAAAATTCAGTTTCAGTAAGGAAGACTAATTTATCCTCTGTGGAGTACTACAGGAAGAACCAAAGTGTATGTAATATTATCAGCATGCAAGACTCTATGTAATATACATTTTCAGCATGCCTTCATTTCAAATTTCTTTGATTTTATGAAGTGCCAAGAGTAAAAACAGATGTTACATTATTCTACGTTTTGGTTATCACATCCTAAACCGGTATTTCATACACAGCCCACGAGGGACTACGGATCATCTATAAGTTTGGGGAAGAGATGGAGAGGCCCCACAATGCTTGGCTCAAGCATTTTCGTGCCAAGGTTTTCCAAATGCTTGGAGCAAATGTGAATCAAATCAAGACTCCAGAAGTGTACTCAAGCATTACTAGGGCAGAAGTGGAGAACTCAGCTTTACAGATTCAAGACGTAGAGGTTACTGGAAATATCTGTACCTCTTGGAATACGTGTCCATGCGAGCTTTAGCAACAAAATACAACCAACCAGTGAAGTGTGCCTCAATCCAAAGGGGCTCTGGATTGAACCCAATGGGCTTGAATCTTCTCTACCTGTATGCTGGTGCCACTGTAACAACTATGAAGCCAGAATGTTTTCAACCAAAAATATCTAGCATTCTCCACTTATGAGCACGGTCAGTTCAAATTGATGTATTCTATATGGTGGTGTGTTTTTGATGCCCTCCGGTGGGATATTTATTGCTATTATGATTGGGATAAGCAGCAGCCCCAAGCCACTCCATTCCCAAGAAGGGCACACAAATAGGTGCCAACCGAACCTCTGCTCATGACATTTCAACCCAGTCCTTGTCCAGGCCTGTAACAGAGTTGTGCACTTCTGGATCTCCAGGAAAAACCTCATTCCCACAAATGGGGAACACAACCACAAGTATGCCCTGAGGTGAGGGGGAAGGGCTACTCTATGATGTCAGTTTCAAGGATTTGGTAGACAGGAAGACTTTCCTTCTGCCCACAGGCATCTCTCTAGTCTGGCAGGCAGTGGAGTTCACAGTAGCAGAAAGAAGGAAAAAGTAGAGGGCAGGGACGACAGACCTTAGCTCACAAATCCTGACCTAGTCATCAAAAGCCTCAAGAGGAATTAAGCATTCAGTCAGCCACTCAGTTGACAAGAGTGTGGCTACACAGCTTTGCTGGAATGGATGAGTGCAGGCTAAACAGGAAGCCCCAGCATGCCATTTGGTCCCATCCTCACTTATGGCAACCCTCAAGTGATCTTATTTGGTCCACAGCAGCCCACTCTTAACGTACCAGTATCCTGAAGTGGCTTTTCTTAAGCCACTTCAGGATATTGGCAAATTAAACACTTCCTCAACTCCATGGAAGGGCTGAGGAAGTTTCTTTCCCCCAATGTATCAGAGCAAAGGATATGTACCGCATCATTTAAAAACAAAACAAATGGAAAACATCTTCCCAGAAGGGGGAAGAGACAGGAAGGAGCAACAAGAGAATTTTTGTTTGCCTTTGTTTATTTCCTCCTCCTTCTGGGAGAAAGTTTTCATTTCTGTTTTATTTTTAAAAAATGATACAGTGCATATACACTGCCCTAATATACTTTTTTTTAACAATTCACTTCCTCAACTGCACAGAACCAAGAAAGTTTTCAATCTGCCAATATCTTGAACTAGCTCTCTTCTTAAGCCATTTCGCAATACCTGGCAAATCTGACAGGGGAAGGTTTGCTTTTAATGCCTTTCCAGCGATCGCATATGATGGAAATGAACCAAACCAGAGCAATTCTACCAGCACCAAAAAAAAAGCAGAAGCCTCTAATAGAAGCCAGAAAGATGCAGACAGGGCCGATCTGGGGTCTGAATAGGTCATCTGACTGCAGTCTTTAGGAAACTGTTTCTAAACTAGCTAACCAGATAGGAGAAAAGAAAATTCTAGAATGCGAATCCCGGCTAGCAACTATGATGTTAAAATTTTTCATCTCATATTAAACTTATATGAAAAGGCTGGTGGAGTGGCTGCAAGGGAATATATAGAATCATAGGATAACAGACCTGGAAGAGGACAAGTCAAAGCAAATCTGATGGATGGTTGCCAACTTTCCCTTGAGTACCTCCAGTGTTGGAGCGCTCACCACCTACCAAGGTAATTGGTTCCACTGTCGTACTGCTCTAACAGTTAGGACGTTTTTCCAGATATTCAGCCTAAATCTGTCTTGAGTCCATTACAGTCAACCCTCGACTTACAAACTTAATCCGTTCCGGAAGGAAGTTTGTAAGTCGAAAAGTTCGTAAGTCGAATCAGCATTTCCCATAGGAATGCACTGAAAACTAATTAATCTGTTCCGGCTGTTTTTGGTTCTTAGGTCGAGGGGTGGTTTGTAACTCGAATCATTAGCCGGTTAATCCGTTCCTACCACTAGGGGCAGAATTATTTCTTTTTTTCCTTTTAACCTAAGACGACTTAGGCTAAAAAAAGAGGAAAGAAAAGAGCGAGGGAAGGAGTGAACAGACACCTTTTCAACAGAACACCTTGAAAAGCAACTTTTCAGCCAAGACAATCACCTTTTGGGAAAAACCAAGCCCCTTTCAGACAACAGATCACCTTGAGAAGCACCTTTTCAATCAAGACAAGGGTCAACGGTTAACTGAAAGTTCAAATTTCATGCTTTCGCCACCTCCTCCATGTTTTTTTCGGTTCGTAACTCGAATCTAAGTTTGCAAGTTGAGTCAATATTTTTCTAATCAGAGTGGGTTGTAAGTCGAAATGTTTGTAACTAGGGCCGTTTGTTAGTTGAGGGTTGACTGTATTATGTGTCTTACACTCTGGGATGATCAAGAACAGATACTGCCCCTCTTCTATATGATAATCTTTCATTTACTCTCGAAGGCTTTTCACAGCCAGGATCCAATGGTTGTTGTAGGCTTTTTGGGCTGTTTGGCCATGTTCTGTTTTACCAGTCTCTCTGGCTGGCATCTTCAGAGGGCAGGAGTTATAACTCTATCTGTGTTCTGGCGTAGGCTGGTCTTCTTTTCTCAAGGCTAAACATGCCCAGTTCTTCCAGCCTTTCCTCATAGGGCTTGGATTCCAGTCCTCTGAACATCCTTGCTGCCCTCTTCTCAACATGCTCCAGTTTGTTGGTACCCTTCTTAAAGTGTGGTGTCCAGAGTACAGTACCTCAGTCTGAGACCTGTTCAGCACCTCAATAGTCCATGTGAAATTTTGGGCTTTATTGAGAGGGTTCAAGCTGTTGCTCCCGGCCTCCTGCAGTACCAGCAGCTCTGTCGTCTTTGTTTCTATTTCCTTGCTTCAAATCTCTAAACATCTTTGATTTAAAAATCTTTAACCCAACAAATGTAAAATGGAAGACAAAAAGACCCATTGGGTTATTTCCTTCATCCTGTAGTCACCCCAGAATCAGAGTACTACCCCCAACTCAATGCATTATTATTTTTTAATTTTTTTTTACAATTTATCCAAAGACAATACAAACCAAACACTCGATGTTTTTTGAGGAAATGAGCTAAAATATATGGGCAGGATGTGAGAATGCACATATTGTCACCAAAGAGATTGTTATTGTTTAGTCGTGTCCGACTCTTTGTGACCCCATGGACCAGAGCACGCCGGGCCCTCCTGTCTTCTTGCCTTTAAAACTGAACAAAGGCAACAAGAAATGATCAACCAGAGACAAAGAGAAATAAAAGTAGCATCCATTGACCAGTGATCTCTAGAAGACAAAGCTTCACATGAGGAAAGAGGACACCTGAGGGGGGGCTTTCTAACTTGGGGGGAAAAGAATGGGGAACATTTGCTAGAAAGTCTATCAATTTATGCTTGGTGTGAAAAAAAAATAAATCAAGGTATGTTTTCACTCTCCTTCCACACAGTGTATGTCCAGATTTTTTTCTCCAAAGGTCTATCTAGTCTGGCATTTTTTTCTCACAGTGGTCAGACAGATGCCAAAGAGATGCCCATTGCCATCCTTGTCCTTCCCTTCTCCAGCAACTGGTTACAATAATACTGCCTCAAATACTCCACAGATCAGACTTATTAATTTATTTGAACCCCCATCAAAGCCATCCCTTGGGTAAGCCTTCTTCTTGGGGTAGCTCCAGCACCCTTTCCATTCCAAGTGCCCATTTCCGCACCCTCCCCAGCTCTTCAGTATCCTTTTATAGGGCAAAGGACTTAACAGTAAACAATAGTCCAACAAGGGGGATGAACCAGTCTGGACAACAACATGATGATGAACATTGTCAGCTTTGTTCCTTTTATAGGGCAAAGGACTTAACAGTAGACAATAGTCCAACAAGGGGATGAATGATGATGATGAACATTGTCAGCTTTGCGGCTGGTTTGGTCACCACTTGCCCATGGATGCAGAATCCCGTGGCCCTCAGTCCTTTTATAGCTTCTTGGGAACCACATCAATTTAAACAGATGGTCTGAAACTGGTTCACACATGCAGCACACACTTGTCAAGGTCCTCCTTTCTACACCACCTTTTTCCAGGGTCAAGGTGCTCACTCCTTTGAGACTACGGATGTGAGGCTTCCTTGTAACCTCTTTCATGGATTACAAATCCCAGAATCCACAGTAGTTATGCCATTGCATCTGCCTGGTGGTATCTTTTTAGGAGAGCTTAATCTGGGGCACTGCAATTTCCAGAACTTCCAAACCAGTGTGATCATTGTGGATTCTGGGAGTTGTAATTTTAAAAAGTAACTTCTCTGTGCTCTACTCTCTAGAGATCCTGCAGTTTCCTTTCCTAATGTTCTTTTCATTGGCAATACCAGGATCATTCTTGCCAGCCTGAGAATGATGGAGCTTGTAGTTCAACTCATTAAGAAGACAGCAGGTTGGTCCCGTCCTAGACATTTAGAAGGCAATAGCTTGGCAATAAGACACTCGATATGCTGTAGAGCATAGAGGAATGTACTGAGATTCAGGAGGACTGGCTTTGAATCCCCAGTCATCCATGGAAATTCGCTGGGGAAGTGGAACTGGTAAAACCACTCTTTAAAGTACCTCACTTACCTTGAAAGCACTGTTACAGTTGCTACAAGTCGGTTCCAACTTGAAGGTACATAACAATAACAGCTTAGGGATGACTGCTTTAAACTGACCTTCTGAGCCATGGAGCCATAAGTTGTGTTAGCTGTTGATTAGGATGCAACTAAACTGTAATTAGATTCACAGCCTGTATTAAATTTCAAATTGCAACCACTACACACAGGGGCTGTGAACTGATTTGGAAATTCACTATTCATACTAGATGTGATGGAATGGGCATCCCAGCCCACAAACGTCCCTTCTTTCTTTCCTTCCTCTGGTCCTGCCCCTGACGATCCTTTTATGGTTCAACATCAAGCTGCTTGCTTCTGAACACACAGTGTTCCGGAAAAGATGTCAGTGTTCCAAGGTCCTTGTTAAAGTACAAAGAAATACATGTATACATACCATAGATGAACCAGTGATAGGAGGATGGAGTTATCTAATGCTAATCTCATATATAGAATAAACAAAAAATTCAGAGATAATTGGGCAAGAAGAAAGAATGGGGGGGGGTTCCACCTGGTCCAGAATATCACACCCAAACTGCCTACATAGCTTAAACCACCTATAGGCATGCCCCCCCACCAGTCCTTATATCACAACTAACCACATGGGGGAAAGTCCACTTGAATTGTTCTGGCTTGAAAAAGTGGAAGCTCCCCAGTGCCAGAGGGGGAAAAAAACAACTTTGGGAGCAAAAAGGGTTGGATTCAAATCAGCCTTTGTGTCATTCGCCCAGTAGAAAAATATTTCATATCCGCCTGTTCCACCGTCAAATACTGTGGAACAAATACCATAGTATTTGACTGTGTAGCTGCAGCCTTAGACAAGAACTGGCCCCCAACTGTCAAATCTCCCATAATGCCACGATGATAGAGAAGAACGAAACAATTTTTGACTGTGTAAGGAGACAGCAGAAAGGCTACCCTACATGAACTGCCGGATAGCACAGGGGTTTAGGTCTCTGGCTGCAGAGCAAGAGGTAGGGAGTTTGATTCCCCCACTGCGCCTCCTTGACAAGGGCTGGATTCAATGAACTATAAGGTCCCTGCTCTGCAGTTCTATGGCTAACAATAAAAATAGAATAAGAACGATATAATAAAATAAAAAGCAACAATAATAATATAGTTCAAATTGGGGGGAAAAATAAAAATTAATCAAGTGATGACAGGAGGGAAAGTCTGCCTAAAGAGCCAGGTCTTGAGTTTGCTCTTAAAAACACCCAGTGAGGGAGCAGGACAGATCTCTGAGGGGAGACTGTTCCAAAGGCAAGGGGCCACTGCCGAGAAGGCCTGGTTTCTTGTTCTTTCTCTCCGGGCCTCCCTCGGTGTTAGGCCCCTCAGCCCCCCCCCCATCCTGGCTAGAACATATGATTCAGGTAGATCTAGGTGGGAGGAGGCGTTCTGCTAGATATCGAGGTCCTAAACCGTTTAGGGCTTTATATGACATCATTAACACTTTGAAATCAATGCGGAAATGAATGGGCAGCCAGAGTGGAGGAAATATGCTGATATTTTCTGGTCCCACTAAGAAAATACTTTTCCTTTTTATTTTTACTGCTATTCTTGTTTGATTATTATGTATTTGTCTATGTTTTATTATTTGATTTTATATTTGGAAGCCGCCTAGAGTGGTCCGGTGGGCCAGATAAATTAATTAATTAAATAAATACATAAATACATAAATAAATAAGTCTGGTCGCTGCTTTCTGCATCATTTGAAGTTTCCGCATCAATCTCAAAGGTAGCCCCACGTAGAGTGCATTACAGTAGTCTAATCTCGAGATTACAAGCGCATGGACCAGAGTGGTGAGTGCCCCGACATCAAGATAGGGACGCAGCTGGGCAATCCGCCAGAGATGGAAATAGTTGGAGCGGACCATTGACGCCACCTGGGTTTCCATAGTGAGCGCCGGATCCAGATGGACCCCCAAGCTGCGAACCTCACTCTTTGCGGTGAGAGTCACTCCCCCAAAAGAGAGGGAGTTTCCCAAACCACCAATAGAGGGGCCACCCACCCTCAGGACCCTCGTCTTGTCCGGGTTCAAAATGTACCATGAGAGTGGACATATACAAGAGGAGGGTCAGAGTTAGTTGGTAGTGCATGTTTGCTTGTTTGTTTTCCTCTGGCTCCAAAGGATTCAGAGTCAATTCTTGATGTGTCCAGGGTAAAAGATCAGATGAACAAGCAATGGGAAAACTTTCCACATGAGACACCCCACCACCCGTCCAAAAGCACTGGCAGGTTTTTAGTCTGACCTAACTTTTCATCAGGAGTCTCCAATGTGGAATATGGGACCAGAACTCCCACCAGCCGTATCCATTTATTTGTCAGGGATGCTCAGAGTGGCAGTTTATGAGCATCTGGAGGACCAGAAAATGCTCATTCCTTGAGACGTTCGTAGGATGTGCTCCTAGATCAGCTCAGGCCTAGCTAGAACTCCATCTGAACAGTTTGGAGGCTACCTGGTTGTTATTTTTCGACTACCATGAACTCTGCTGGCGTTTTCAGGAGATCCTGAGTCAACGCAGTGGGGATTTGGCTATCAAGGGAGAGCTGCCCACCCAGGAATAAGTAAGCCGATTGCTGCCTGAGAAAGCCCGGCGAGGAAGCCTCCGCAATCGCCCGTCCGCTCGCCCGGGTTCTCCTGCCCCGAGGCCTCCAGGCTCCAGCCAACAGCTACCCCTAGTGGTTACTGCACCACACCACGTTTTAAAAAAAAAATCGAACCAAATCGCCCTGCAGTTTTAACTCTCCCTGGTCGATTTCGCTCCGGTCAAGAGGTTTAACGCTGAAGCGCCTCCGAGAGGTCACCAGCCCAGCATTAACCCCTGGGTTAAGGACAGCGAGAGGTCTCCCGGCGGGCTGCGGAAAAGAGCCACGAGGCGCAGGAGGCGGCGATCGTTGGCCGATCGGGAAGGAAGCGACAGGGAGTCACCTGAAGAAAGGC